AAAGTTTTACGGGGCAGCAAAAACACTCCCTCAACTTCACCAGGATTTCATGCATCACTAATCCATAGTAAAAAGAGGGAAACTATAAATAATGTTATTGTGACCAGCTGCAAAACCAAGATGTGTCAGTAGGGTTATCCAATTAAATAGCTACTCCACACTAAACAAAGTAAAACAACTTTTCCTTAATGCAGAGGGGAAAAAAAATCAACTTGCTGCAGTGACTGCTATGTACAATCTTTGGTTTGTAGACCTACACTACAACAACCTTGTCCCCTTGCGTAAGAGAACAAAAAAAAAAAAAAAATCTCTTTCATTGTATCAAAAGATGACATCAATGGTATAGGAAAGAATGGCAATCATCAGCACTTTCACACTGTACACTAACCCCTGGGATTCAGTTTAATGGTCCTGGTACTTGCTTTTGTACTAAGCGAGCACACAGCTTGAAACTCAAATTGGTATCAGAACATCACACGGTAAAGGTCCTATTAATCAAGTGAACAGTTGCTTTAGCATTTGAGCCATTAGTTTCAGCAAAACCTCTCTCAGTTCCCTTGGGCCCTGTTGGAAAGATGTTTCAGAATCATGTTCAAGTGCCTTTTTAAAAAATAAACAACAAAAAACCCACCAGGAATGGGGGATGATAGAATGGCTTTTGCATTCCCATCCTCCAAAACCATGCAAAGTGATAGGGGTTAACATGCCTGTCCATCTGCTACTACAAGATGCATCCTCAAGACCAGAAGTGGGCAATGTTTTCTGACAAGGGGACTGAAAGTCTGAAACTCAGATCCAAGATGAACTGGTGTTAGGACGCAGGTATTGCTCCACCCCTAATACCACTGCTTCTCTTCATTGCCAGCTGCAGCCTGGCATGGACAGCGTCCCGGTCTCTCAGCCACAGCCTGGTACAGACAAAGCCCCCACATTGCTGAACATTGCCAAGACCCCAGTTCCATGAGCCAGATCCTGCCTGTGGGTTATAGGTTGCCAACCCTTGCTCAAGACCAGTGTTTGTTTAGAGAGTAATATTTTTAAATTTCTTCTCCAACTAAATTGTAACTGAGGTCGCATATTTTTAATGTCTGCAGGTTAAGCAAGAACATACTTTAATGTAATGGACAGAAAACCCTAAGCTAGTGGTCCTCAAGCAGGGTGCCACACGCTATTACCAGTGTTAGGTGTGCAAACACCTACATGCGAGTCATAAAATAAAAACAAACATTTTTTTCCTAACAGTGTCTAGTGTCAATCTCTAGTGTCAAAAATAAACCTGAATATCTAGTGTGAACCTCTAGTGTCAAAAATAAACTTCTTGTGGTCTTTCTGAGCTCTTTGCAACAGAAGAACTATTATTTTTCTTTAATCATAAATGAGTGAAAGCTAAGAGCTGGTATTTTTGAAGGGTGCCTCAAGTCAAAGAAGGGTGAGGATCACTGTTCTAAACCTTAAGAACAGCACCATTTAATCAACTAATTATGCAGATAGAGCAATAGTTTCTTCTAAGGATTCCTACAATAACAAAGGTAAGCTTCAGTTCACAAGTCCATTCATAATCCAGTTTCCTTCAGAGATGAGGCATGCTCCACCACAGCTTTAAAAAGCTCAGACCTACTCTCATTAAACAAGGGAACACCTCATAAAGGAAAGCTTCAAACACTGGGCAAGTCAAAATAACAGGTGAACACCATTACTCACTACAGGAAAGATAAATCAAGCACTCCTTTCCCAAAGTAGCTGGTGGCAGCCAATATACATGTTACATTTGAAACGAAGAAAACCTTCCTGAAACTCCTGGTTATTGCCACTTTTAAATATTGTTATTTTATTCATTGAAGTATTATGCCTCCTTCCTCAGTTCCACTCCAACCACATGCAATCAAATGGTATTTATGTAAACTCAAGGAAACTGTTCCAAAGAAGATTTGCCTATTAAATAGGTATCCGAGTTACTAATGCTGCTCAAGGTTGTTTTTATTCAGCCTTTGTGGAGATTTAGCTCACTAAATGGCACATTTTTGATTGTTCTAAATCCAAACTGGCAGGAAAAAGGAATATTGCATTTATGTTTTCACCATGAAAAATTAAAATTTAATTTGCTTAAAAAGAAGCTTCTCTCTCTAACCTGCTTTAATATTGTATCCTATTCTCTAGTAGCACCAGAAAGCAATTTACATTCTCTTCCCAAGCAAAGCACAACATTACTGTGGACTGATGAGACTAATCTTCATGAACATCTCTCAAACTGCTAGCCACTTTATAGATACTAAGTCTATAGTGTCAGAGGTATTCTCTATTATATCAGCAGTTGCTACCACTAAGGATTCTTGCCAGAGATGGAGTTGTTTCTCTCCTTAATCTCTGCAATATTGAAATAGCAAGAGTTTCAAGCACAGAATGGGTTAATTCAGGCCTCTATAAGTACTATAACTGATGAAACAAGAGGCTTTCTGAGGTTTCAGTCTTGGACAACTAACAGAAATCTATCACAGGGAGTTGCCTGCCCAGATTTTATATAAAGAATCACTATTCAATATCAATGGAGCAGGCAATATCTCTATGTTCACAGGTGAGCCCCGCTCTGTGACCAGGCTACCCAAACCTAACCACTACTACTTATTTGTGTATCAGAGCACCAAGATGAGCAGTGACACAAGAGTGCACCTGTAACCCAAATATACAAAGTTAAAAAAGATATCAGTCACTGAGCAACTAGAACATAAAAGGTCTGAACATGAGCTGTTTGGGAAACTAAACCTCTGTCTGAGCACATCTGATCTCTTAGAACACAACAGCAGCAGCAAGGCTTGTACTTCATCAGGTAAGTCATTAACCTCTACGCATGTTCATCAATTTGTTCATTCATACTCAGCAGTTTCCTGGCTGTGTCTCTCCAGTGCTTTGCAGCTGAAATGCTACAGCTGAAAGGGGACAACAAAACAAGACTGGTGCCACACAAAACCACTATTTCAGGACAGATGGAATAAATTTGCAATCTCTGCTCATCCAATACATCCCACAAGTAAGCCAGGAACCTCAGGACTAAAATAACCAAAGGGGAAAAAAAACCCAAAATTGAACTGAGGCCATTTCTAAATTGCTGGAACTGCTGCTTGAGCTCCAGGGCTAAGGTGCCTGGACTCCCTGCTTTGGATGCAACTATTCCAGCAGAAGGAACTGTTTTGCTGCCAGAGCTACGCAGCTTGCTTGAATGCCAGGAACATGGCTACACACAGAAGCTGCATTCTCACAGAGGTTTTGTCAACAGAACTACAGTGCCTACAGGTTTTAATCTTTCCACAGCCTTGACACACTCCCACCAAGGGTGATTTGTAGCCAACTGTCCACAACCACCAGCCTTTTAGGAACAGAAAGAGACCTGCCAGCCACCGCTTATGCAAAATGGTTCTAAAGAGAGCCAGCCCCTTTCTGCCTCCTAACATCAGAGTAATTTGAGTTGGTCTCATCTCCATCTTCTGATATAGGTGGGTGGCATGTTGGTCCATGCTGGTATAGGAAAGTAACTGTTGCTTGAAAGACTAACTTTACAGCAGTCTGTTCATGGTACCACCTCCACACGTGCCTTTAGGATACAGCTCTTTAAGAAAGCCACTTTATAGGGACATATGCCTGAAAGGAGCCTTCTGGGCCCCTGCATTTACAGGTACCTGGAGAAATCCCCAAAGCCACCATGTGAAACCCTCGTGCATAACTACAAGGAATAATAGATGAAACACCAAGAACACAGGTAAAAACTGGGGAGACAGGCACACTGCCAATGCTTTACCATTGCAACAACAG